CCTAACCTATAACCCTAACCCTAACCCTAACCCTAACCCTAACCCTAACCCTAACCCTAACCCTAACCCTAACCCTAACCCTAACCCTAACCCTAACCCTAACCCTAACCCTAACCCTAACCCTAGCTGATGCCTCGTCAACCCTAGCTGATGCCTCATCAACCCTAGCCCCACTCCATACCTCCCCACCGACCACCACTCACTTTACTTGCCACTCACTGCCCCCTTGCCACCCCTACCCGTCCCACCCATGACCCACATCCACAGTCCCACCCACCCCACCATACTCATTCTCCACCGTACCATGCGCATGGCTGCGCACGGGCGTGAATTGATTGTTTGATGCTGATTCACAATCTCCATCCTCCCATTGACACTTGCCCGTGTCACTTGTTCGGCCGAGTGGCATGTGCGGGTTGGTGGGTGATATGAATGTCATTCAACATTTTCATGATTCGCCACTCGTAACTCGTTGCATTGTTTGACGTTCAATTGATTGTTGTTGATCATTGTCAATTGATCATTCGATTCTTTCTGCTTCTCTTGTTGCTGGCTGGCCATGTTCTTCGTTTTTTGCCGTTCATGTTTCCACATGCTTTGTAGTTGCTTTCGTCTGCCCTCATGTTCTGTTGTGGTTGCTCTTGCCTTTGATGGTTGACTACAATCGACATGCATTCCCATTCATCATTCCTTTCGCTTTGTTGTTGCTTTGTATCATTATTCGTCATGCTTCATTCGTTCTTGACTCCCCTGTCTGCATCGACCTTGACTTCCACATCCATGATCGACCGTTGCTCACTACACCATCGATTCTCAACTCTGTTGTCGTAAGTCATGGTTAATAGTTGTGCATGCAATGTATTTTGTGTTGACCCTGTTGTGTCGTGGTCTTGGTTGATCTGCTGATCGATCAACCGCGCCCTGCCTCATCGACCTCAACGTCACCCGAGTTCATCCCATTGCCTGTTAGCTTTGTCCAGTCCCTGTTGGCTTACTCATACGTGTGCTGTGCAAGCCATGTATGATCTTTGGTTGTTGTTTTGGCTGTCATTGCGTCGTTTGATGCTGGTTCCGGCTTTTCTTCAATTAATTCAACGTTCAACTCAATTAACGTCCGCCGCCTTCCCTCTGCCGGCCAAGCCCCTCCACCCTCATCAACCACACCCCACACACACCCATCATCCTCATCTTACCCATCCACATCAATCCTCCACCGCAATCTCCATACCCACCACCGCTTCGCCCGCCACGCCACCCACGTCACGACCCCCCTCATCCCCCCTACCATACTCATTATACCCCATCACCACAAACCACCACCCTCACCGCCTACTCCACCAATATCACAATAATTCCAGCCACAAGCCCCACCCACATGCCATGGCCATGCACACCACCATTTCATCGCGCACTCGGCTTCCTCCTCCTCCTCCTCCCCTCCTCTCCTCACTCCATCTCACCCCCATCCTCATCCTCGCCCACGACACCGCCACCCCTCAACCACCACATACCTTTATGCCTATTCACCAACCAACAGCAATCTCGAGCCATCCAGCCCCGACCCAGCCTTCTCAGCTGCCCCCGCCTCGCTGACCACCAGCCGCCAGCCGTCGCCCGCTCGCGCGATCAGCCCACCTTCATCACCACCTAGCTCCTTCCCACCACAACCTACGCAACCCACGACCACAATCAAGGTCATCACTTACCGTCCACTATCATCAGTAGCAATATCGCTATCAGCGATACCCATCGACCTCGGCTCACTTTCGCGTCGACTTGTTTTGCCGAGGTGGTTGCGGACGTCCTCGACCGCCCGACCCCGCACACGCCCCCCACCAACCTCATTGCAAGATATGGCCAATCTGATTTCACTACTACCCTACTACTTACACACACTACCCCCTTGCACAGTCTCCAATCCACAGTTGCAGTATTCCAGAATCCGAGTTCCGCCGGCTCGGGCCCAACTTGTTGTCCTGGTGTCGTTTCGATGATGCTGACCACCCCGCCCCGGGCCCATCTCCGACCCCCACTCCCCACCATTCCCATCCACAACCACCACACCCACACCACACATACCTATTGCCTCTGCAAACATAACCATTTACTTCACTAGCCCCCAATACGCACATCAGCCGACGCCATCCCGTCAACAGCATCGCTGCCGACCGCCGGCTGCTCGCCGCCGACCGCCGCCCGCCGCCGACCGACCACCTCCGGCACCACTGAGAGCAGGCTAGCCATCGATAGGGTATTGGAGACTATGCATGTGGATAGCCAGATCAATGGCAATGGCTACCAGCCTGCCCTCTAACCCGATCCTCCCCTCCATCCTCCGGCCTTGCCCATCACAGCCCCCGCCGGCCTGCCCATCGCCAGCCGCCCCTGCTGCCGATCACCGAGCCAGACGACGAGGCCTATGGACTGGCCAGGACGAGAAAGGACAAGAGATGGCAAGTGCGAGCGATAGGCGATACCGTGGGTGGACTAGAGTGCAGTGGTCTGCCTCCTCCTCTAATCCCAAGCCATCGTCTCCATCGACGTCCATCTCAATCCAATCCCGTCCGCCCTCCTCGCCCTTGCCGCCCAAGCCCCTCCACCCTCATCCCCCACGCCCCATACACACCCATCATTCTCATCGCACCCATCCACATCAGTTCTCAGGCCCAATCGCCATACCCACTATCTTTCCGCCCGCCATGCCTCCCACGTCACGACCCCCGTCATTCCCCCCTACCATACTCATTACGCCCCATCACCACAAACCACTACCCGCACCCCCTACTCCACCACCATCACTCACATTCCAGCCACAACTTCCACCCACATGCCTTGGCCATGCCCACCACCATCCCATCGCGCACTCCGCTTTCTCTCCCTCCTCCCTCTCCTCCTCTCCGAGCTCGATCTGCTGGAGAGCGTGTGAGTCAGCTGCTGTGGTGAGACCAAGTCGAGACGTTTGTCTGGCCGTCCACGATGATTCTAAGTCGCCTTTTGCCGCCTTATATTTACTCGACAACAATGGCGTCGTCGTATCCGGTGGTGACAGCAAAGAAGTGCTTTCCCAGCTCGTACGACGAGATCATGATGGCACACGCTGGGGCGATCTTAGCCAGACGCGGCAAGATGCCGGTGTAGAGCGACGCGACCGACTCCTTCGCCACCATGTCTGCCAGCAGCTGAAACGTCGACTGCGCCACCTTGCTTGCCCGCCGCGCGTCCGAGTCTGGCATGTACATCTCGATTTGCCGCCGCGTCTTGGCCACGTCGAACGGATGCGTCACCGCCGCCGCCAGCATGCCCGCCACCGAGCCGGCCGCAAACGCGGCGGTAAAGAGTGTCGCTGGTGGCGCAGTCGCCACCGTCAGCTCCTCGCCCGGCGCGAGCAGCACAAGCATCTTGGCCCTGATCCGCTCGTAGCCGAACCAATAGACTGCCGAGAACGGCACGTCGCGGTAGAGCGACGGCGCCAGTCCACGCCAGAGCGAGAGCATCCCGGCCTCGGCCACGTTGGCCCGCAGCGCCGGCAGGATGCCCTTGGGCACTGCACGCTGTCCCTTGCCGTTCGACGACGCCTGCATCTGCGTCCGAATGAGCTCCAGTGGTGCGATGGAAGTCACGGCAATCGTCCGCGCCACCCCGCCGGCCACCAGTGGCGCGTACGGGGCAAACTCCGGGCCGAGCTCCAGCCGCAGTCGCATCTCGTCATACAGCGAAAAGTACAGCATCGTGGCAGGAACAGAGAGCACAAGCGTCGGTGCCAGTCCGTTATACAGCGACCTCATGCCCTCGTAGCGCACAATCTTGGTCAGCGCGTCGATGGTGCCCGTCAGGTACGGCGTCGTGCCGACCGGTGAGAACACGTGCCGCGACGCCGTCTTGGGCCGCACAAACTCCATCAGCCCATTATTGTATGTGTAGTGCGAGCATCCCGAGCACGATGCCGGCGTGCTGCCCACGCAGATCGTCGGCGTCGGCGACTGTGCCTGCAGCCGCACCTTGGCCACATCGAGCGGTGTCATCATCAGCGATGTCAGCACCGCTCCGGTGCATGACGCCGCCATCCGCTGCCACGGCAAGAGTGCCTCGTTTGTACCGACTTGGTCCCTCCTCTGCCCTTCCTCTGCCGCTGCCTCCGCCACTGCCACCGCTGCCTCGCCCCCGCACACTGCCATGACGCGCTCGCCGACCATTCGCCGCATCGACTCCATGTCGCGCGCACGTCCAGCTGTTCTCTCGTCTCAACTCGCTCCAGCTCCACGCCCTGACAGCCCCTAATCCGCACTACCCGATTCACGTATGTCTACCCGCCGGAACTGCTCTCCACCACACGTCCTGTCCTTGCTCAATCAGCCCCTTGCTCTCCTTGGCGGCGTCAAGTGCTCCTCCCGCTTGTCCACCGTTCACTGCGCCCATGGATGGCAAAGGCAACCAACCCAGCCAGGAGAACGATTCGAATGGCTCCGCCACCAACGCTCCGCCACCAACCGACAGCCGCCACCACACCAGACCAAGCCAAACCAAACCAAACCCCGGCGACAGACACCTGCCTCGCCTGCCCAAGGCATGCACACCCGCCGAGGTACTGTAGGCTATGCTACGGTGACCGAGCGGCTGGCGGCCGCAAGGGAGGCAGCTGATGACGCTGAGGCTCGCAAAGTGCTTGGCGGGCATACCGTTGGCGAGGTCGAGCGGGCGCTGGCCATCGTTGAGGCGCAAGCGGCGGCAGAGGAGGCGGCAAAGGTCGAGGCTGCGAAGGCGGCGGCTCAGACGAGGCGCAGGGCGGCAGAAGAGCCTTCGCGTGGTCGCCATGCAGCCCTCGAGGCCATGGAGCAACTGCCGCTCGCCATGACTGCTCACGCCCGCGGACGAACGACCCAGTCGCGCCGCAACGCGTACGCCGCCCGGCTCAAGGCGCGTCGAAGCAAGCAGCGCCTGGCAGCGACCAGCGGGCCGGCATCACGCCGCACCGGCCATCCGCGCTCGGCCGACGTGCTGCCGGCTGCTGAAGACCCGCGCTACGGGGCCGAGCTGGGCGCTCTTGTCGAGCGGCTCAAGTCGGACCCAATGTACTCGTGCACCGCCCCGTCCAGCTCCGAGTTCATCTCGCTCTTTCTCTTCAACAAGCGTTCGGATCCTGCCGACGAGCCGCAGCTGTCGGACGCCGTCTTTGACGACCCGCAGTTTGCCGCCCACAAGGCAAGCATGCAATCTGCCAAGCGCCGCGCCGCAAAGGCCGCCGCAAAGAGCTCGTCCGTCGCCGCCATGTACGCCGCGTCTCAGGCCTCCAAGGCCAAGACTGCCTCACTTTTCAAGAGAAACCCGCTCCTCCGCCACTCCCTCGAGACGCGGACAGGCATCGGCGGCCGCGTTCCCGGCACGCTCCGCAACTCGGCTCACGACTCGGCCCGCGCCGCCAAGCTGGCGTCGATCAAGCGTGCGCTGGCGTCTGGCCGCTGAGGCCGCCCGCCGGCTAGCCAGCTCTGCGTTTGAAGTTTACTGCGACGGCCCGGCAGCGTCGCCGCCCGCATCAACAATAGGAACCCCGGGCTTGGCCGCGTCGTCCAGCATCGAGTGGCTGAGACGGCCCCACGAGCTCGTCGGCACCAGCTCGGGATCCTCCTCCGGCTGGACGAGGCTGGCGAGGACGGAGAGCGCCTTGCGAAAGGTAAACGAGATGTATCTCCGCCGCGTGATGGTCTTAGGCCCGCAGGTGTGGACCCGCGCTGGCGAGACCCCGTACATCCACCGATACCGCGCCTCGCCAGAGATGACCAGCAGCGAGCCCGGTTCGACAACAACCGAGAACACCCGCGAGTCACACACGTTGACAAAGTCAATCTTACACGCCGAGACAAGCGAGACCAAGCAGATGACCTCGTCGTACGCGTACGGCTTCTCGGTGTATGGCGCCACTCCCTGCCCGGGCATCAGCTCGCGAACGGTCACCTGGTTGAACCCGTACCGCCGCGGCAACGACTTTTCCAGCTCGGTCTTGGAGTGCAAGTCGAACTTTTTGGTGAGGAGCTCAAAGAACGGTGGCAGCGCGTCGTCGAGCACCGCCAGCGAGTGCCGCTCCTCATCGTAGGTAAAGCCATACTCTTGCTCCCGCCGGGTCACAATCTTGACCTTGGTCTTGATCGGCGCCCCGCCGCCGCTCGCCCGCGACCGCGACACCACCCGCTCCTCGCCGCCACTCCACCGCCGCTTATCCACCTCGTTGACCAGCGAGTCCTGCTCGGCAGAGTTGATAAAGTCCGGGACGTAGACCAGGCCAGGCATGCACGAAATGACCTCGGACCGATCGACCTTGGGCAGCGACGCGCCCGCCCGCCCGCCCTCGTCCTCGCCGTCCGACCCAGATCCATCATCGCCTCCGCCGCCACGCCGCTTCTTCTTCCGCTTCCGCCGCCCTCCGCGCCCGTCCGCCCCCGCTGTTGCGCTCCGGTTGAGCGCCGCAGATGACCGCGACGAGTTGTGGCTGTTGTGGCTGCTCCCGTGGAGCGAGCTCCGCGACGGGTGCGAGCCCAGCCCCCGGCTCCCAAGCCGCGACCTCCGGTTACCGCTCGCTTGCATGTTCTTGCCTCTATGCTCCTTGTCTTTGCCAACGTTGTGTGTCCTCTCCCGTTGGCCGCCTCTTTGGCCTCTGTGGCCGCAAGTCCAGAGCCAAGTGGCTGCCGCCCCACCGGACTCTGCTAACCGCCCGCCGCCAGCCGAGCACTCCCGCGCACTTTCGCTACCTTTATCGCGTCGCCTCTGAGATCCGCGCCACGAGATCATTGACGTCCACCCGCTCCTGGAGCATGGTGTCACGGAAGCGGAGTGTGTACGTCTGGTCGTTGAGGCTCTGTGCGTCGACAGTGACGCAGAACGGGACGCCGATGGAGTCGGCGCGCCGGTAGCGCTTGCCCACAGAGCCCGAGGCCTCGTAGCTGACGCTCCCGATAACGGTTGAGAGTCCGGTGGCAAGGACCTTGGCATGCTTGACAAGCTCCTCGTCCTTGGCCACCAGCGGGAGCACTGTCGCCGTCACCGGCGCAATCGCCGGGTCCAGCCGCAGCACGCTCCGCTCGGCGTCGTCCGAGCCCTCGCGGACGGCCATGGCGTCGACAAGCAGCGCAAAGACAAGGCGGTCAAAGCCGACAGACGGCTCGATGACCACTGCGTCGTCGAGAAGCGCCGGAACCTTGTCGCCCGTCGCTGCCGCGTGCGCCTGAACATCGTGCTGCCCGCGGTCAGCCACGCCCCACAGTTCGCCCCACCCGAACGGGTACTTGAACTCGATGTCGGCCGTCGCCCGCGCGTAGTGCGCCAGCGAGCCGGCATCGTGATGCTCGACGCGAAGGAGCTGGTGCGGATGGTTGAGGAGGCGGACAAGCCACTGGTGCGAAAAGTTGAGCCACTCGTGGAAGGCTGCATCGGCCTCGTCGCGCGCCACGAACCACTCGACCTCACCCTGCTCAAACTCGCGGACGCGGAACAGGAACTCGCGCGGCGAGATCTCATTGCGGAAGGCCTTGCCCATGCTCGCCACGCCAAACGGCAGTTGCGCAATCCGCAGCGCGCGGACCGTCTCGTTGAGCGAGGTGAACATGCCCTGCGCCGTCTCGGGCCGCAGATACATGCTCCGCTTGGCCTCGCCGGCCCCGGCCGCCGTCTCAAACAACAGATTGAACATCGTTGCCGCGTCGCTCGCCCCAGCCGGCTGTTTCTTCTTGCCGCACCCGGTGCACGCGCCGCCGGCATCGGCCCGCAGCGGCGCCCCGCAGCCTGCGCACGAGATAAGCGGATCGCCAAAGTGCTCCACATGCCCCGCAGCCTCCAACACCCGTGGCAGCGTCAGAATCGGTGTCTCCACCCCGTGCACTCCCATCCGCTTCTCCACAAACTCGCGCCACCACCGCTGCTGCACCTTGCGCTTCAGCTCGGCCCCGAGCGGGAGGTAGTCGTAGCACCCGCGCGCCCCACCGTATCCTCCGGCCGACGCCGCTGCAAAGCCCTTATCCCTGCACATCTTGACTACCTCGTCTAGCTTGGGCACCTGTACCTTGGGCATCTCCACCGCCGACGACGCCAGCCGCCGCCCCGCCGTCCCCATCGCCGCCCTCGTTGCCGCTCGCAACGCAAGCATCCAGTCTACGAACAGCCGCCTGCCCTTTCGCCTGCACTGCTACAGCTACCTCTTCTTCCTCCTACTTCCAGGCACCTGTACCTGTTCTACACACGCGTGGCTGCTACGACAGTTCGCAAGAAGAGTGCTTTGGCTTTGGTCGTGGCCTCGGCCAGCTCAGGTCGCCCAATGTCGACCACAACATGCTCAATCTGAGTCGGTCCCCTCACTACGCCACACCCCATACAGACACTCTCCTTCCCTCCACACCACACCACACACACTTCCGATCTCTACCTAAACCACCTTCTCAGAACCACCATTCTCTCCTCTCTTCGAAATGACTTGCTTTTGTATACCAATTCTTCCACATCATCCGCAATTGCTGATACTGCTCTGCTCCAGCAACTGCTCCTGTTGCCCCTGCTGCCGGTTGGTGGCGACTAGCAATGGCGAGTGACGGGCGAGTGACGGGCAGGCGACTTCACACCAACTTCGCTTCCCCTCCCCCCCTCCCCTTTGCCAAACCCGAGTACGGGACGTGCTCTACAAGCCCAGACACCTCACCACTCACCACGCGTGCACACACAGACGTAACATGTCGGGGATGAGTGAAGAGGACGCGCTGGAAAGAGTGACCCGCATCCGGGCCCAGCTGTTGCAGCAGAAGCTTGCGCTTGCCCGCCAGGCCGCGGCGCCGCCTCCCGCACAACCGGCCGCACAGCCACAGCAGCAGATGGTGCAGGTACCGATGGGCGCGACGCAGATGCCTCACATGGGCGTGGAGCTGCCTATGAGCATGGGTGTGCCCATGGGATTGCCCATGCAGATGGGCGGCGGAGGACCGGTGCCGGGCGGCGGCGGCGGTGTCGGGTACAACATGCAGCTGCAGCGGTCGATGATGGAGCGGCGGCAGCTGAAGCGGCGGCTGGACACGCTCAAGGCCAAGAAGGAGCGCGAGACGGCGCTGCGGGCGACGACCAAGCTGACGTCGCTGGTGGAGCGGCTCGCGAACACGCTTGCCGACGAGCCGGAGGATCGGCACCGCGAGCACAGACGGCGCGAGTCAGGCTCGGGCGGCGAGGAGCGGAAGAAGACAACTCTCGACGTCATTGCCGAGCAGAACCTGATGATGCAAAACCTAATGATGCAGTCGATGCTTCAACGGCAGACCGAGATCAACGCCGGCGGCGCCAGCGGGAGGCGGCGTGGCGACGAGTCCAACTTTCACATGTTCCTCGAGCAGCAAAAGATCGAGAACGAAAAGGCGCGGCTGCAGCAGCAGATGCAGATGACCCAGATGCAGATGGCGATGGCGGCTGGGGCGGGAGGCGGACAGAGCGATGGCGGCCTCAGCTCGGCGCTGCTCGCGGCGGCGATGATGAACAACGCGGCGCCGGCCCCGGCTCCGGCCTATGGCATGGGCATGCCACCTGCGATGGCCATGCCGACCGTCGGCATGCCGCCACTCGACTCGGTCACCTACGACGCGTACGGCAACCCGCTGATGAACGGCATGCCGATCGATCCGACAAACCCGGACGCGATGCCGATGCAGCCGTACACCCACGGTGACTCGAGCGTGTACTCGGAGTGGATGCGGCACAACGCCGCGATTAACGGCGGCGCGGGAGTGGCGCCGGCGCAAGCTGCGGCGCCGCTCGGTTATGGCTACGGCGCCAGCATGGGTTTTGCCCAGCAGCAGGGCGGCTTTGGGAGCCAGGTGTATCCGGGCGCCACCGACGAGCCGTTGACCGATGCGCAGGCAGCGGCACGCGAGACTGGGCTCCGGGCGGTCAAGCGAGCCATGATCGTCGTCTGGTTTGTGGTCTACGTCCAGTCGTTTGCCGTCCTCCGGAAGCGGCTGCGCAAGCGGATGCGCAAGCAGCTGAAAAAAGGTATCTTTGACGCCGTGCCCGAGACCGTCCGCTGGCTGCGGACTGGTCTTGTTAACGTCTTTTTCGAGCTTGTCAACCAGGACGACGAGTTTCTCATCCAGCCGAGCGACCTCACCTCCAAGGGCGGGTTCTCCAAGGCGCAAAAGGGCACTATCACCGAGCTCGGGCAGATCATGGAGGCGCTGACTGGCATTCTCTCCACCGAGCGGGCGATCGAGACGCTGCCTGAGCCTGTGCTCGACGTCCTCGCCGACCTGACCAAGGAGAAGGCGGTGTACCCTAAGGGATACATGATGGAGGTGGAGGAGGACTACTTTGAGTTTGATGCGCTCCAGCGGTCGTGCGGCATGTCGCTGCAGCGCCGGCGCCTCCTTATCGCCAACTTTATCGTTGCCCGCACCCTCATCGCCGATATGCTCCTCTCGCCAGGCAAGTATGGCTTTGTTGTTCCGGCCTCCGGCGAGGCTGAGACAGGCAAGAAGCGCAAGAAGCGCAAGAAGCGCAAAAAGGGCGCGGTCCTCGGCCCGGTCGAGGAGTCCGATACCGTCGTCTCCAACTGCACCGTGGTCGGCACCCTGCTCTACGTCGCGCTCCTCCGCGCCATCGGCGAGCCGGGCGAGGAGCCGATCGACTATGAGCCGCAGATTGTTACCTCGCTCCTCCCGCTCGACTCGCTGGCTGTCCTTGTCCAGTTCTTCCGCGCCGACGGCTCGCTCCTCCGCTGGGAGAACTACCTCCGGACCCTACTCAACAACGTTGTCCGCGCCTGCATCCGCGCTCACGGCAAGCCTGCCGAGGAGGCTGCGCTGTTTGCCGGCGCCGCCGGTCCAGACGACCGCATGGGCAACCCGAATGCGTCGATGGCCTCAATCCAGGTGACCGGCGCCACGCCCGACGGCCCGGGCCGCTCGCGGGCAAGTCGCAACTCCAACCGCTCGCCGCGGCCCGTTTCGCGCGTCTCGTCGTCGCGCGTCTCGGCCCGCCTTGCCTCGCAGCGCCACCCGCAGCAGTGACAGCCCTCACGATGGCTCGTGGCTCAAAGTGCTAGATGTTGATGTTGTTCTTGACAAATGTCGTCAGGTGCCGCAGGAAGAGGGCGGGATGTGTCGGAAACGCGCCATGGACAGTGATGCCTCACTCGGCCTCACCAGTGAGAATCTGCGCGGTGGCAAGGTGATGGACATACTTGCTCTATTGTGCCGAGGCGACAGCGACAAGACGGAGGAGGATGGCCTCTGGCACGGGCACAGATTTCGTTTCTCTGTTGGTCCGACCGCATGCGGCGCACAAGCGACGCAGATGCCGCCGACAAGGGGCAAACGGAAGACACACCTCTCGCAGAGTTGTCATCGAGAGAGGATGATTAAGTCCATTCTCGTCATCAACATCCATGGCAAGCCGCGCTTGACCAAGTTTTATAACCGCATCTCTGAAGAGGAGCAGCAGAAGCTGATCAATGAGTGTACGTTGCCCAGAAAGGGGCCGGGTGGGGGGGGGGGGGGGGGGGAGGGGGCGACCACCCATGCCATGCCGCACACACAACCACCGCCAGCCACACACACGCGCGCACACACACACGCACACACACACGCACACACACACATACATACATGCACACACACAAAACATACCTACATAC